TCTTACTGCTCATCTTCTGCCACATCTTAAGGAGCTTGAGAGATGACATTAATTAACCATATCAGTTCATCCCTTTTGGAAACCAAGTTCCCATGAGAAAAGTAGTGTAGGTCACAGTATTGGAAATTTCCCAGAAAAAGAATTATAGGACGTTTCTCTTAACTGGCTGCCCCTCCCTCTGTAATCTTTCCACATTAAAGGAAAGGGGTGAGGGTGAGGTTGGAGAAAACTCTGGGGGTAGATTCTTTTCTTAATGTCTAATTTTTATAGCCAGATTTGTCATCCTATTTCAGATGAAATTTCTTCCTTTAGCTGTAATTCCAGATAGGAGGGCTATTGCCTTGAGGGGCTCTTTCAAAGTTAATGGTCAATTTTTTTTAACATGTCTGCAATTATTCTGCATATTTGTATGGGGGACTTTTTGTCTGATTTATTTGACATTTTGTATCACTTTTTTTGCACATATCCATTTTCCAACCTGTATGCATTTTAAAAATATTAATCAGCTTCCTGTCCTCTGAAGTCATGGAACTTAGAGGTATTTTTTTTTTAAAGTCTAGATCTGTGATTTCATGAGTATGAGGAACTCCTGGTGCAGAAAATCTCCACTGATACAGATACCTAACTCCCCTGTAATTTATATTCTGAGAGATTTGTCTGGGGGCACTGAGAGTCTTCCTGACTTCATGGTAGGCCTTCTATGAAATTCACTGTAAATCTCCCAACTTTACTTTAAAAAAATTATTTCAAGGAGAAGCTAGGTGGCACAATGGATAGAGCACCATCCTGAAGTCAGGAGGAACCAAGCTTAAAATTTGGCCTCAAATACTTAATAGATGTGTGACTCTGGCCAAGTCACTTACCCCAGATTGCCTCCCAAAACAATCATTTTGGCCTCTTTGCCTATCAAAAATTTTGTTAGAATAAGCAGGAAATAAATTAGTTTATGTGTTGACTTATTTTTTTACTCACCCTCTGCTGAAGAACCGTGACGTGCTAATATAGCTAAATAAGCATATTTTAAAACTACATGTTTAATCTGAATAGTAGAACATTACCTATAGTCTTATAATATTGGGGCTTTAACATTTTAATTAACAATTAGATAGCATCTAGCCCAAATGACCATTTGCCAAGCCAACTATCTGTGTTTGAATTTCAGATGTCGATAAAAGCAATAATACATCTCCTTATAGGTTCTGTCTTTGATATCATGCTGTTTCATTAATTTTCATGATGTCAAAATATATAAATTCTATTCTTAACTCTGTGTATATATATATATGTATATATATACATATACACACACATATATATGTCTTAACTCTTAATGTTAAAATGAGGCAGGCTTGTCTCAAAAGTACTGCTTATTAAAACTACAACAAAAAAAGATAGGATAAGAAATATACAACTGATGAATATGACTCAATCCTAGCATTTCAGAATCATAGAATCTCAGAGTTGAGAGGGACCTCGGGATTCATTTAGTTCAACTCAAACACAACCAAGAATTCCCTTGAGAAGGTATCCAATAGACATCCAGACGACTCAAGGACCTTTAGCAGGTAGAATCCACTCCCCGCCAAAGCATCAGAGTCCACTTATAGATCATTTTAATTGTCAGAAACGTTTCCCACATTGAACCAATCTCCGCCTCCGTGCAACTTGCATCAGTTGTTTCTGTTTCTGCTTTCTGAGGCTAAGCAGAACACATATAATCCCTCATCCATGTAACAACCCTTCACATAATAGCAAGTCAGCTATTATGTCCTTCCAGCCTAAACAAGATAGGTAGAACCAGTCTTTAAAAAACAAGTGAAGAAAAACATTTTCGTGGTGAACATCCCTGGTTGTTTCAACTGACACTTAGATGGCACCCACTAGAGGTCCCCTCACCAGCCTGATCACCCCACTCTGGGTGTTCTATCTGTTGTTAATATCCTTTCTATGGCACCCAGGACTGAACATGGTGTGGTCTGAAATACAGTCTGAATAGAGGGGAGTGTGGAAGGACCGTGATCACCTCTTGGCGTGGCCAAAGATCCCTTCACTTTATTTGGCCTGCCATGATATACTGCTGTCTCATTTTGAACTTACAGTTCCCTACAACTTCCAAATCTATCTCAAACTCCCTGGCTTCCCCATCTTATACCGGTGACATTGCTTTTGCCAGCCCAAGTCTACAATTAGGCATTTATCCCTATTAACTTTAATTTATTTTATTAAATTTATTTAACAAATTTATCAAATTAAATTTATTAAATTTTATTAAATAAATGTATTAAATTTTATTAAATGTTTTTTGGTCTTTCCAAATATTTCTGGGTCACTCAATCAATGCTTACTATGTACTTACTGTCAAGACTTACTATGTGCCAGGCCCTGTGCTAGGTACTATGGATATAAAAGCAAAAAACAAAATAATCTCTACTCACAAGGAGTTTATAATCCAAAGGAGAAATGTGTGTGTGTGTGATATAAAAATAATAAATACAAAATAGTTGGGAATGGAAGAGTGGGAAAAGTATTTGGGGAGGGAAGGAAAGACTTCATATATAATACGATCCTTGAACTGCATCTTGAAAAAAAAGAGATATTATGTGAGGTAAATATAAGAATGGAATGTATTCCAGCAATGGGAAACAGCTCGCTGCAAAAGCTTGAATTAACTGAACAGTATGTGTGAAGAACAGCAGGAATGCCAGTTTGACCAAATCACAAAGAATTAGAGGGAGAATAATGTAAAATGAGACTGGAAAGGTGGGTTGAGGTCAGTTACGAAGCCCTTTCTAAGCTAAAGATAGGAGTTTATATTTTATCCTAGAGATCATAGGGTCCCATGAAGTTTGTTGAGTAGGGGAGAGAAATAGTCAAATATATGCTTGAAGAGAACTGGCAGGTTACAAAAATGAGAGATGAGAAAAATGGTTGTGTCTTCAATAGAAACAGGGACATCTGGAAAGGGGAGAGGAGTTAAGGAGAGAGATAGTAAGTTCTGCTTTGGTCCTATTGGGTTTCCCAGATAATTATGGGACATCCAATTTGAAATGTCCAGTAGGCAGTGGGTAATGAGACTCTCAGGGAGAGAATAGGGAGAAACTAGGACTGGATATAGAGATTTTTGAATTATCTGCATGGAGATGATAATCAAACCCATGGGAGCTGATGAGATTATTGAGACAGACAACATAGAGAAGAAAAGAGGTCTCAGGACAGAACCTTGGGGCTCACCCCACAGTTAGAGGAGCATTAGAGGCAGTTGTTGAAAGCTAGCTAGATAACACAGTGTGTTGGACTTGAAGTCAGGAAGACCTGAGTTCAAGTCACTTAACCTCAGTTTCCTAATATATTAAATTGGGATGATAAAACCACCTATTTCATTGGATTGTTGTGAGGATCAAATGAACTAACATATGTAAAGCACTTTGCAAACTGTGAAGCACTTATATAAAAGCTGGCTTTTGTTATCATTACTCATTATTGTCGTGAGATGAATGTTGAGCCAGTAAGAGACGCTGAGAAAGAGAAATCAGACAAGCGAGAGGACTATCAATGAAAACTCAGAGGGGATAGCATATTCAGAAGGAGAGAAGATGGGCAGCAGTGTGAAATGCAGCAGATAAGTCCGAAGGGTTGTATACTGAGAAAAGATCACTCGTACTCAATAGCTGTTACTCCCAGCCTTGTCTCGTCCGCAGATTTGATAATTCCATCTATGCCTTTACCGTAGTGATTAATAGGTATCAGTGTTCCACAGCATATTGCCAAGTACAGATCCTTGGGATACTCCACTAGAGACCTCTCTTTGTATTGAGATTGAGTCATTAATGACTACTGGTCTTGCAACTAGTTCTGGGTGGTTTGTTTTTAATGTGATTAGTTACATTAATTGTTCCCTAAGATCGAATTGGCATACTCAAGTCAACTTTATCATAGTGAATAATTTATTGAATATATTGTTATAGTATTTCTACTACCACTTTATTTAAAAATTTTGAATTTTCATTACTGTTATGGGTCTATTGTTCTTTTTCTTTGCTTTACCCTTCACTATTTTAGGTCTTCTCTATTTGCCTCATAAATTCAACTAGTTCTGAATTCATCTAACTATGCTACCATCTATGATATTTTCATATGGTCCATAACCTTGAGGAATGGTGATGATGGTGTCGAGGACACAGAATCATAGTTAAGCGTGGGCTAGGTAGTTCTTCTCACATAGTAAGGGAGAGAAAAATGGGTGAAAAGAACTAAAAGAAGAATGGACAGGACTGTTTATTAAGTCCAAGACATGGCCTTTCATTGGGAGTTAGTTTGAAAAACTTTAGGAAAGGAGAGGACGTGGATATGAAGAGCCAAGAAAGAATCCAAACAGGAGTATTACCAATAAACCAAGCAGGGTCCGATAAATTTGAAAAAGTTAACAACTGTGCATTATTTTATTCAAGGATTACTGAAAACTGTCTTCTTTTTAGCTTGCCTTGCCCAAGTCAGGCAGATAAGACTCAGATTTTACTAATGCATGCACATATTTTTTGAATCTGTAGTTTCATTTAGTAATGTTGTTCTATATTGGTTTACATATATCTGATGGGAAAGTTTTCTGGACTGCATCTTGGTTTAGTGCTAAGAAACAAGTATTTTGCAACATCATCACCTTAATGATTTAAAAGGGAACATCTTGGGGCATCTAGATGGCGCAGTGGATAGAGCACCATCCCTGAAGTCAGGAGGACCTGAGTTCAAATCCGGCCTCAGACACACTTACTAGCTATGTGACCCTGGGCAAGTCACTTAACCCCAATTGCCTTTAAAAAAAAAAGGAGACTGTTTCTGCATATAAAATATGTAATGATCTCTACGTTGACATTAATCTTTCAAGTCTAGTTCTTGAGCATGTGAAATCTGTTGATAATGTTAAAAGTATCTCTTGAACACTGGTTGTTATACCTGTGTGGATTTTTTTTCTTGCACAGTGTCTGAAGTGGAGTAATTAATCATTTTTCATGGCACAGGTAAAGGACGAAATGAAAATCCAAGCAGCCATCACAGGATGGGCATACACCGTCTTCTGTCTGGCTTCATGCACTGAGGCTTTTTCTCACGGTGCAAGCCTTGAGGCTTGTGTTGATATGAAGCCCAGACACATCAGAGCCCAGCTTCAGAATCCCAGGAACAATCACGTCACCGTCTCTACCAATGTGTCCTCTTACTCCCCTGGTGACAAAGTGCCAGGTAAGTGTGCCAAAATATACGACACCCTCCCAAGAATTTCAGATCATAGAATCCATGACCTAGTACATATATCCAATGGTAAAGTTTTCTGGACTGCGTCTTGGATTAGTCCTAATTGTTTTAGCAACAAATCTTTAAGAGGGAATATTTGTATGTATGAAATACACATACGCATTATATACATATATAATATTTAATCTCTCCGACATTTTCCCCATGTAGTGTTTCTGTCAATGAGTTATAATGCCATTATAATGTGACTTCATTATTGTTAATGTATTCAAAATGTGTGTGTGTGTATGAATTTCTTTATTCCTATTTCAGGCTAAGAGATGGTTTGGGATATTATAAAAAGTTAAAAGGGTATGATCACATTATTTGCTGTTCCTGAAGTAAGTGCACCATGAAGTGATCAGTGTGGCTAATATGGCGTAATGATAAGGACCACATTCTAGGGATGGCCAGTCGTGGCTAACACCACATCTTGTTCTAATTCAGATTAAAAAAGATGTATGGCATGGCTTAAGTTTTATTTTCATGAATTGTTCTTCCAAAGAGTTTGCAGATAAGACAACTTGATTTTTAAATGTAGTCAAGTCAACAAGCTCTTATTAAGTACTTAGTATGTGCTAAGTGCTGGGAACACAAAGAAACAGAAAAAAACCCACCCAATGTCTGCTGTCAAGGGGCTTATAATCTAATGGGGGAAAATGCAAACTATAGACAGGATAAATTGGAGATAATCTGCAGAGAAAAAGCATTAGCATTAAGGGAGATCAGAAATGCTTGTCTCAGAAATAGTGAGCTTAGAAATGTTATTATTTATAATATGCTCATTAATCTCATAATATGTTAAAGTTATGCTTTGCTCTTATATGTGTTATATTACATGAGTAGCAATCAACACATTTTTCCTGTATGGGAATATATCAATCTGGGAATAATAATAATAACTAGCATAACAATAACATAGCACTTTAAGGTTTGCAAAGTGCTTTATCCTGATTTTATCTTCACAGCGTTGGGAAGTGGATGTATATCCCCATTTTACAAGGAACTCAGGCAGAGGAGGGCTTAACAACTTGCTTAGGGTCATACAGATAGTTAAATGTCTGAGGTAGGATTTGAACTTAAATCCACTTAACTGCTCTCCAGTCTGGGAATGGACAGATGGATTCTTTCCAAGTTTGGAGAACATGGATACTTCAGTACTTTGATGGGTCTATGATTCTCTGAGCACTCTCTTCAACACAAATCACATCCCACCCACAATGTCTCACCCAGTGGAACTCATATCTACATCTTCCCATAAGTCCTCTGCATCAGAAGGCAACCCAGCGGGGCAGAGGATCTTCTCCTGCATCTCTTAACATCATGCCAATACTAATGGAATATGTGAACGATCCATGTCTTTATCATTTGCTCTCACTTCATTACCAAACTGGTCATTCATCTCTGATGATATCCTTCTTGCTACTTCTCCTGTGCCACCCAGAGATGTTCAAAACCAAAATAATTGCAACACACTTTGAAAATATAGAAACTGAGAGTTGGAGGTGACCTCAGAGGCTCGCTGGTCCAGCCTGAATAGGGATTTGCTCCCTACAATATCCCTTAAAAGTGGCAGTCCACACTCTTTTAGATCTCCTGTGATAGAGAGTATTGACTAATGAAAATGTAGTTTTCTCTGACTTGAGAAAAGGGGAGGGGGAGACCAATCATGTGACTATTTTGCAAATACTTCTGTAAATCACACCAGCTGGCTGGGTGAATGACTCATCCTTTCATGTTTTAGTGACCGTGAGGAGTCGTGGGGATTTCATGGGATTCCTGCTCCAGGCTCGCAGAGTTTCTAATGACCAAATTGTTGGCACCTTCGTTTTCATCCCTTCTGGTTCCAAACTGATGTCTTGTTTTGAAGAGGCCAATACAGTCACCCACTCGGACAAATCCCCAAAGAGAAATCTGTCTTTTGTGTGGAAGGCACCACACCAACCCACTGGGGACATCAAGTTCTTGTAAGCTGGGAAAAAGAAAGAGATTTGTGTCTTGGTGCCTGTGCTTTCTACATTGGGCACAGATAGAATGGCTCCTCTCCTTGTCTCTGCCACAAAGTAGCCAATGATGCCCCATCTTGCCCTGTGGGATGGCCACCTTGGCCATCTAACCTTTAATTTAGAGTGATGGTTATCTGTGTGAGTCCTCCAGATTTAGAGATCCAAGGGCAATCACAGGGATGGGCTGCAGACAGCTTTGGGCTATCCTATCCCTAGAGGGTACTTCTCTTCTCCTCCTAATGATACCCCAGGACACACCTGGGATGACCACACTGTGCCGCCTTTCATGGTTTCATCCACCCCCCAGAGAATCTAAGATCCTTAAGGGCGAAGATTATTATTATTTTAAAATTTATCCTCAGCATCTAACATAGCACCTGGCACAACAGTAGGTACTTAATGAATGTTTGTCGAATTGATTTGAAATGAATAATTGCCACTAATTTGTTTCCACTCTGGCTCTGGATTTTCTTTGGGCCTAGGGGCAGGTATGTACAAAGAATTGGTGCACATTGGGTCGGGCAGCCAGGTGGCACAGTGGATAGAGTGCTAAGTCTGGAGTCAGGCATATCTAAATTCGAATCTGGCTTCAGACACTCACTAGCTGAGTGACCATGGGCAAGTCACTTTAACCCTATTTGCCTTAGTTGTAAAATGAGCTGGAGAAGGAAATGGCCTCCACTCCAGTATCTTTGCCAAGAAAACCCCCAATGGGGTCACAAAGAGTGGGACAGGACTGAACTGTTTAGTAGCAGCACTTTGAGTTAATTTCTTTTGTATAGGGTTTTTCATTTTTCATAGTCCTTTAACACCAATCATCTCACTTCATTGTGATGTCTCCTATTTGAGTTAGGTCAGATGGACATTAATAATAACAAAAACTAGCATTTACATAGAGCTTCAAGGATTGCAAAGGATTATCACATCTCACATTTGATCCTCACAATAACCCTATGAGGTTGATGCTATTATTGTATCTGTTTTACAATGAGGAAACTGAGGCAGATAGAGGTTAGATGATTTGCCCAGATTCGTACAGCTATTAAGTGTCTGAGATCAGATTTGAATTCAGGTCTTCCTGACTCCAAGTCCAACATTCCAGCCACTGAGGAACTGAGGCACAGAATAGCTGACACTTGTCTTCAATGAAATACTTAAAATAGAACAAAGTTTCCCAGGCCTTTCAACCTGTGTTCTTTCACCTATTCATATTGATTCTATTTGATAGTACATACAATTGAGTTAGATCTAAAACTTGGTTCCTCATTTCAACATTAGCTTTCTGTGTTATATCAGGCACCTTTATTCACCCAACCCTTTATGACACACTTTCTCTATCTCAATAATGAGAATGATAGCCCAGTTCAACAGTTATTAAGTGCCTACTGTGTGCAGGGCACTGTTCTACCTCTAAGAAAATAAAATGTTTGGATTGGATATGATACCTACTGTTCTACACACTGGTAATCTCTATCTCAAAGGGACAGTATGTTGACGAATGAGTTCATAGGATTTCAGGCTAGAAGAGACTTTAGAGATCATTTGATCCAATGGTTCTCAAACTTTTTGATCTCAAGACCCCTTTAGAGTCTTAAAAATGATTGAGAACAGGGGCAGCTAGGTGGCATGGTGAATAGAGCACCAGCCCTGGATTCAGGAGGACCTGAGTTCAAATCTGGCCTCAGACATGTAACACTTAGTAGCTGCGTGACCCTGGGCAAGTCACTTAACAACATTGCCTAACCAAAAAAAAAAAAATAATTGAGGACACCAAAGAGCTTTGTTTATGTGAGTTACATTTATTGATGTTTGCCATATTAGAAGTTAAAACTGATAAATATTTAAAATATTTATTAATTCATTTAAAATAGCAATAATAGACCCATTTTGTGTCACTATAAGCAACTTTTTATGGCAAAATAACTATGTTTTCTAAACAAAATAAATTGTGAGAAGATTGACATTGTATTCGTATTTTTGCGATCTCTTTAATGTCTGCCTTAATAGGATATATCTGCTTCTCTATTTAATCTGTTGCAATATGTTGTTTTGGTTGAAGTATATAAACAAAATCCAGTCTCACATAGATATATAGTTGGAAAAGGGAGTATTTTAATAGGCAAATAATGTCAGTATTATTATGAAAATAGTTTTAACCTTACTGTGCCTCTGAAAGGTTCTCAGGGACCCCCAGAGGTCTTTGGATCACACATTGAGAACTCCTGATCTAATCCAACTCTCATTTTATAGGAGAGGAAACTGAGTCCCAGAAAGGTTAAGCAGTCTACCAAAGGTTACACAGGTAGTGAGTAGCAGAGCAATGTTTGATTTCATGCCTTCCCTACTTCAAATCTAGGGCTCCAGGCCTTATATGGGCTTTTCCTAGCATGAGGAATGGGATGTGTGAAAAGTATTTTATAATGATTAACCATGAAATTACACTAGCTACTAAAGTGATTAGTTTTTCATTATATATTAATTATAAATTCAATTAATTATAGAAGTGGTTAATAACAACATCACAGTAATGATTAGTAATACAATTGAAAATGAAACTTTTTATTTAGATCTAATCATCCATAAGACTATGCAAATATGTAGTAGAAAGAGCAATAAACTCAGAAATCAGACAACCTGGGTTCAAATCCTGGTTTTGCTACTTATTTGTGACATCAGGTTAGTAATTTACCTTCTCTGGGCCTCAGTTTCTTCATCTATAAATAAGGGTGTTTGACTAGTTGACTTTTAAGGGCTCTATCAGCTCTTAATTTTATGAATTACTCACTCACAATGAAATTTTTGAATGAAAGAACTTAAGAGGATAACTGAGTATGAATACCAATAATGGTCAAAGAGTTGTCAGGGACTTTAAAGTGATTGAAAAAAATACCCTTGTTCTATCAATGACAGAGATAAAATTTGAACACAAATTCTGACTTCAGAGCAAGTGTGCTTTCCATTATACCATATTGGACTTATCTGTTTTAGGGCAGGTTCACTTCTAGGAAAACAAAATACTATCCTTTGAGTTCCTGTATTTTATTTAATCTTCTAATTGTCTTTCCTGCCCTATCATTACCCTCCCCTTCCTATTAGGATGGTCTCTAGCTTTATTCATGGGAATTACAGAGTGATTTCCTCTTCCCAAACAGTTTATCAGTAGTACAGTCATATTTCATTTACTGGGAAAGGATTGAATCAACCATCGTGTCTCAGCAGACACAAAACAGAACACTTTCTGATGGCAATGTGGAGCCAGCTGCAAGCCTGCAGAAACCAAATGGCCTAGAAGTCACAACCACAGGTACAGTTAATCCCCTATATTTATTTATTCATTGTCATACTTGTCTTTCATGTTATTTATTTTCACTTAAAAGTTACTGCCTCTAGTGTCCTACCTTGGCAGAGCAAGCATTAGACAGGGAAAAGCTGAGTTCACAGCCCACAGGCTTAGGAAAGTTATAGTCTGCAAACTGAGAAGGGAACAAAGACAGATCCCTGATTGACCTGTGCCACTGCAAACATGACTTGTCTGCTTCTGCCAAACAAATTCCCAGTAAGACTCCAGGCTGGAGGGTCAGAACAGCCTTGTGAAAAAGCTTCGACATCTGACCCCTATATGGAAGACATTGGTCAGTTCCCTTAGCTCCCTGAAGCTGCACAGAGAATAAAAATAATGGAGTTCTTCCCCCCTATCCACTAGGTTCTTTTCCTATTTTTTTCCATAGGTAATTAATTAATCAATGACTGTGTAAAAACGAAGGAGCTGTGCTAGATGCTGGGATTCAATTGAAAAACAAACAATCCATGCTCAGAAGTGTACATTCTACTGGGGATGAAAGTAGTGATAGAGATACAACATCTGGCAAAGGCCAGGTAACTCAGAGTGGTTTTGGGGTTAAACCAGAGCAATCTGGCATCTAGGCTCATTGGGTGACTTTAAGCTATTCTAGAGCATTTGGGGGGAAAATAAAGGAAATGTGACTTGCTTAAAAATCACTGGTATCAGGAGAACAGTTTATAAAATAGTGACAACAATGTAAAGACAAACCACTTTGTAAGGCTTAAGGACTCTCATGAACATAATGACTAAGCACAGTCCCAGAGGATTTAGGATAAAGTATGCAACCCCACCTCCTGACCAAGAGGTGACAGACTCAGTGTGGAGACTGAGACATATTTTTGGACATGGTCAATGTGGGAATTTCTTTTTTCTTTTTTTTTGCTTGCCTATGCATATTTGGAACAAGGGTTTTGTTTTTCTTTTTCTCCCCCCTCCCCCCAGGGAGTGAGTTTGGAGGGAAAGAAAATAGATTTTTATTAATTTGTTAGTAGAATTTATTAATTGAAAAACATGAAATTATTTTTAAAGGCAAAAAAAAAGCACTGGACCGTGTATGTGTGTGTGTGTGTGTGTGTGTGTGTGTGTGTGCATCTACACATACATATGTATACACACACATATATTCTAGTGACTAGAATCATCTAGTTGGACTAGATAACCTAGTCCAATCCCCTCATTTTGCAGATGAGGAAACTGAGGCTTAACTTCAGGGATTTGCCCAAAATCATAGAGTCGGTAAATGTCAGAGCCAGCACCTGACTCTAGGTCTTCTGACTCCAGAACTATGCCTTCTTCACTAGACTAGGCTGTCTTTCACATGACATTACTCTTCTTGCCTCTCCCCCCATTTTCTAGTTCAAAGTCAATTGCCATAAATTGCTAATGGATTTCACCAAAATGTCCTTTGGTATATGATTGCATGTGAAAACAAAGTCTCTTGGGACATATCTTCATATGATCATAGATTTAGAGCCAGAAAGAATGAAACTTAGAGGTCATCTAATTTAATCCCATCTTTCTATAAATGAGGAAATTGAGGCCCAGAGAAGTTACACAGGTAATAAATAACAAAGCCAGGGCTTGGACCCAAATTCTATGCAAACTATTGCAAAATACATTGTCACCATTTAATATTACTAATTACACTTTTTTTTAAAGATTCATTAATTTATTTATTTTTAGTTTTCAACATTCACATCCATAAGATTTTGAGTTC